ATATATATATATATATAACGAATTAATGCTAATGATATTAATAAAAATACGATATGATATAAGATATATGTATATGCTCACATAGTTGCGTGTAAACTGCTTTTGGAAGAAACGATCAATATTTTGCAGTTGCATAATGCGATTGCTTAGCTCGTACAATCTGCGCGACATCTCGCGACCCATGAGTGTGGCATAGGGTTTGGCGTCGATGTGACGACACTGTGGAATCTTCAGCTTGGGCGTTTGACATTTAAGCGCAGATCTGAGCTGTTCGAACGGCAACGACTGCTGGTGCTGTTGATGGTGGACTTGGTTCTGATTCTGCTGCTGATGTTGATGTGGTTGCTGTGCCTGCTGACGGGCATTCAAAGGCTGAACAGTGGCCCTCCAGCTATTGGGCACATTCTGCGGTGGTGGCGATGCATTGGCGTCCTTCTTAAGCGGCGTATAGGTGCCGGTTTTCAAATACGTGCCATTTGCATTGACACAGCGTTGCGCCTCCTCCGAATCCTGAATCATGGTGTACAAATAATTCAAATCAGATTTGGTACGGCCGGCCATGCGTGGTGGTGGCTCCTGTGGCGGCATCGGCGGCTCATTGAAACTGTTGTCCACAGTGTCATCGACAGTGTGATCGCTCTTCATGCTGTTATAGGGTGTGCTAAATGCACTCGGGCCAAGCAAATTATCATTGGTAAGATGCACTGTAGCATTTAGTGGCAATGGAGTATCGGTGCCATTCAAAGTTTTATTGCTTGAATTGGAATCGCTGCTGTTATCATTGCCATTGCTGTTGCTATTGCTGTTGCTGTTGCTGTTGCTGTTGCCATTGCCATTGCCGTTGTTGGTAATGTCCAACTTGCAGAAGCTGTTCTTCTGCTTCTGCAGCATGCCATCCAAGTTAACAAACGACTTGATGATCATTTCCACAATGGTCAATGTGCTAATCTGCCAGCTATCGAAGGCGGCCATAAAGCCGCTCGGCAACTCATCCTTGATCTTGTTGAGGCCATCGGGTGTATTGTAGACATAGCCTTTGAGGATCACCCACGAGTTGACAATGCGTGTGAATACAAATATGAAATCCTTGACAGCCCAGGCAATGCCCTGCGAATTGATATTCGGCAGCACGCCATCTGGACGCAAGAGATCCTGCTTGAGCCGTGCACACAATGTATCCATCTTCTTGAAGCACGGACGCTGGCGATGAGCATTGGCCAGCCGCTCGGCAATGTCGCTGCCCTTGAGCGAGATGCGTGTTATATCCTGCAAGCGTTGTATGGGCAGGATAACCTCTGAGTTGCGGCGTTCGCCCTGCAGAATGCTGGGAAAGCAGCCATTGCTTTCAAATGAGCTGCGACTAGTCGATGACTCCTTGCTACTGGAATGTATCGGAAATATTCAAAATTACTCTATGAAAGGAAGCTTGAGAGGATATAGGGCCACAATATGTATATATATATGTATGTATATGAATATAAATACCACTAGATCTAAGCTACAGAGTGTCATGCTAGTTACTATTTTCTCCAACTATATCCTCTAAATATTTCAAGTATTCCCAAGTATTTCCTCTGGGTATTTCCTTGAAACAATTATTTTCTTTTAAATATTTCCTCTAAGTGTTTCTTCTATGTTTTTCCTCTAAACATTTTCTCTAAGTTTTCTCTGCACATATTTCGTCTAAGTATTTCCTCTAAGTCTATAATGCTTATCTAAACCGTCACTTCACTTTACTTTACTAATGCTTAACTAAGCCATCATTAAATATTTACACACACTTCACTTCACTTTACTTTACTGCACTGCACGATTGACCCCCAACAGGACGGGCCGACTGAAGAAATGCAGATGCTGCTCTTTATATAGGGTGACTTTAACTCAATTTGATTCAGTCGCGCTCAAATGTTGAGCCCGGTGTCAGGTAGGGGTCGTGCAGTTGAGTTTTAACTGACCAATGGGAACACTCTCTGCTGCTGCAAGCATTCTAGCTCCGTTTTACTTACATATTTATAAATACCAAATGAATACTGCTGCACTCATACAGACAACTTAAATGATCTTCTGTAGTTAGGAAGATAGACGGCGAGTCAAATATACAGGCAGACATACACACGCATAATTAAATCGGATTCACTCAAGAATAAAATGCATGATAAGGCTTAATGTGGATATCCTAATTAGCTTACATATTTAATATTTAATTATTAAATGACATACATATTTAAGATGTAGGTGATTTAATTATTTAACTGAAGTGCGATAAGCTCGATAGCAATAAAACCAAAAAAACTATCGGGTTTTTTGCATAAAAAGATTTGATCGGCGCCGGCTATACACTGATCTACAAAAACAAATTTCAAATCTCTGGCTCTTGTATGTTCTGAAATCGGCGGACAATTAGACAGTCGGACGGACTGTGACGGAACAGAATATGTACCAAAATTATGCTAAAAATTATGCAATGGATATAGATACAGATATAGAGAGGAAAAGCATTACTATTATGTTATTTGTAAGGAGTAGTAGAGCATATAATTCCACACTTACCTATCGCTTAAATTTGCTTGATATTTAAACTTGACTATTGGCGGAGCATCGCCAATTAAATCTGTTTGTGTGGTTGCATCGCAGCTGCGCTTGACAAACATACGGGTCTGACATGCATTATCCTTGGTATGATTGTGTGGACGTGAAGTGGAGTATGTTGGATGATAGTGTGGCACATACACATTGGTTGAGGCCGTTGCTGAATGTTGCATATACATATGGCCAAATGAGTTCATTGATGCTGCAACGCTTCATCAATACAGAACAAGCCACAATTTATGTTAACTGGCAATAGCTTACCCGAGCTGGCGGCATAATATTGAACGCCCGGCATGGACATATACGTGAAACGGCCGTGCATAGATGGACGATGTGGCGGAGGCGGTGGTGGCGGCGGTGGATGTGGTGCTGCTGGCGGTGGTGCTGCATTGTAAGGACCACGCCCGGTTTGTATGAATACGGGCGGACGTATCGGTATCGGTGGTGTGCTCATTGTCCAGGAACTCTGGGAGACATGCTCCTGCACAAAAACATCCGTTACGGCCATACGAGTGCGATCCACATAGGTGTGCTGTTGGTACATGGACTGTTGGCAGAGGGACTCCACGGCCACGGGTATATGATATAGAGGTGCATTGTAGCCGCTATTCATAATTCCAGCTAATTTGCCAAGCAACACGCACTTTAAATTGAACTGAATTTAAAATGTCCAAAAAAAAGTGATAAAACAAAAAGTAAAAATAAAAAAACAGTTGAAATGAAAAAATAACTTCTAGGTTAGCTTTTCTGCCAGCTGCTCGCAATTAATTTTCGTTTAAACTGTATATTGTCAGCCTGAATGCCAATTGTCAACTTGATGTAATTAATCGAATATTTTTACGTATTGCAGAACGTTATTATCCAGTACTGGCCTGTCAAAAGTAACTACTCACTTGCCAGCCCAGCCGAACAGAACTTTTGTAACGAACAACAACAACAACGGCAGCAACGACACGAAAGCGACGGCGTACCGTACATACTTCCGATACCTAGGATGAGTGTAAGTATCGGCCTAGCGAACCTAAGTGAACCGTCTATCGATAGGTTTCAATTTCTATTCGGTTCGCAGGTCCTTTTGCTAAAAAACTTGTAAACAAATAGTTTTAATTCTAAAATAAAATATGATTTGTATTTCAAGGCGTACTTGTTCATCATCTGAATAAACTGCTGAGGTTGTCAATGTGCCGTTTTATTTTAAAAATATTGACATGAGCAGCTTTTAGCGGGCTTTCTGCATACTTAGAACAAAATGTATACAGATAACGATTTAGTCTGAAATTTTAAGATGAATTCTTAAAATGTTAGCTTCACAAATGAAAAATGATTCAGTTAAATTCTTTTTTGAATTTGCTTCGACCGTTGGGTTGCGCAGCACGATATAATAAACAAGTGCGCTATCGACTTAGTTCGATAGTTATGTGAAAGGTCTATTGTGAATGCGTTGCAAATCGATTTATATGGTCTTCGCAGGTGACCGGCTACTAAGTTAAATATTTTTATTATGACTGCATAGCATGATTATTATGATAATATGCATATTTAAATTTATTATTCTGGCATTAATTATATAAAAATAATAAAAATTTTTTTTGCAGTAGAATTTGATTCGAATGTATATCTGTTATTTACAGCGCAGCCCCTGTTAACGTGTTATCGTTGCTGTTATGTGTACTAAAAGAAGAAGACAATATACGAGAGAAACAAAAATAATCGAAACAAAATAATAAATATTAATAAAAATGACAGACGAAGCTAATTTTGCGGACCAAATAGAAAACGAAAAAAACAGAACAAATGTGCGATGTCAATTTTGCAACAGCCTAATGCTAAAAGCCAAAGAGGCGAGCTACTGTGAGCAAGAGGTATGTGACTAGTAATAAATTTGCTAAAGTTGGTTCGGTATAAATGAAAATGTTTGCAGGTGAACGTGCCGCTAATGGTACAGAAGAAGGATAGTAAGTCTGATTCGCTTAACACAGAGACCCTACATCATTTCTGGCTGGTCGAGGATATGATGACATTCGAAAATATTGGCTTCTCCCACACTGTGGATGGACGCAAATTTCTAGTCTGCGCCGATTGCGAGCGCGGTCCAGTTGGCTATCACGAGCTCTCCACCAAACGTTGCTACCTGTCGTTAAAGCGTGTGGTGCACGTGGATGCCTAGGTGAACAGTTGTACCACCTGTGCATATTATAAGTGCTATAATCCTGAGCCATGCACACAGCAAGCTTTTAGCATAATATATTGGATTGCTTTCGTTGTACCGCTGTTCACATAGCTTTTTGTCCGGAATATCATGTTCTGACTGGCATTAAGGTTTTATAATACATTTTGAAACTCTTGTAAAACATTTGACACTTATATTACGTAAAACATCAACAATCATGAACATTTACAGTGCAGTACTCTAGGGTTATTGTACATGAAAGTAATAACTGGATTAGTGAACGGGTTATCTGTAGATATGCAAACCTTCTAGAGTCTAATGCCAGTTTCAGAGTTCAGCAGTCATTGTCGACAGTTTCAGTAGCACAATAGTCCGTTCTCAGCCTATTTTAAGCTAAGTGTAAAGAGTATTTTTTGGTCGGCTACAGCCGATTCTGCTAATTATAAATGTAAACAATAAACTTTTGTAATATTATGATTTAAGCTCATGATGCCCACAAGAAAAGTAGAAAAGAATACCACAGATATACACATACTATATATTATTATTAATTCTTTTTATTAATATTTTATTGTGTTTCGTTTGAACATTTTTAAAATTTTGTTTGCATTACAAATATTGCGTTTGAGAGGAGTGTATCTTAACTAAAAACATAAACTGGGTTTTGTCTTGGCTTACAATTTGAACTAAACTCGATTTGTGTCTCTCACAATCTCGAGAGAGAGAGAGAGAGAGAGAGAGAGAGAGAGAGAGAGAGAGAGAGAGAACGCTTCTAGAGATTCTACAGCACGTGGACAAAAGCTTTGCCTACCAAATTCATCAAAAATCCATCGCTTCGCTTAGTTTTTCCCGACGGATGCTGAGTGGTTTTATATTTAAATA